AAAAAAGAACAAAAGCTTTCCTCATAGCACATCTGCTCAGAGACTCAACTATCAAGTGTGTTGGGAAACACAATTCTAATGGGGTGAAATAGAAGAGAAATGTAAGGGCAGAAAGAGAAGATAAAATGTTTGCATAACCTTTAACAAAACAGAATAAATACAGTATTTTACAGATGAAAACTTTTCCTCCTCTACTAATAGGTAATTGGATTGTTATCACAGGGTATATATTTGGGAAACAGAAATAATCCTATGTAAATACAGTTATGCTTATGGATAGAAAAAAGGTGTGCTTTAGCTCTGGTAGACTCATAAACTAAAACATACTTCCTTAAGATGGTCCCTGCAACTTCTTTCCAGTTTCCTTAGAAATTTGTAGTACATGAAGAGTGAAGGGAGAATCCAGCTTCCATTCTACAGCAGCTGCCTGGCGTCTGAGTATCAGAGTGTTACACCAGTATTTATGCAATAGAGATATGATCAGTAAAGCTCATAGCTACAAACCACAACAAAGCATTTCTGTTCTTCAGTATAGGCACCCTCAGCATTAAGTCTGTTTTCTGCATCATCCCTCATAATGTTATGTCATATACCTAATAAATTCCCTAGTTTTCCTGGATTTGCATATTCCTTGAACATCGCTTTAAGATTCTTACAGTAAATATACTCTTAGATATTGAGAACTGATTTAAATTCAGTTGTTAATACATAGTAAGTGATGGTTTAAACAGAAGTCTTTTTCGAGCCTGCGTGCGTTTCTGCAGGGGGAGTACTGCAGAACTGAATCCTTGGCTTTTGATCTGCTTTTTAGACTGGATCCAGACTCAGAAAGGAAAAGCAAACTCCCACGAGTGGTCTGGCTGTGATATTTTGAACCTGACTGCAAAAAAAGCTCTAAAAGCAGCAGACCATGTGCAATGTCTAATTGATTAATCCCACTCTTTGGGAATTAATGTTATTTCTAGTAAAAAAGAAACATTAAAAAAATGGGTTTGTTTGTTGATTATGAGCCCTGGCCCGACCTCAGCCTTGAATTTAAATCCCCAGTAGAAGTCTGAAATTAATCCACCTCTGGCTTAGTTATCAGTAATTATAATTATTAACAGAAGTAACCAGTAAATGAATGGCTTTCAGTGACAAGGCGTTTCAACTTAGAATAATGGATAACTAAAAGTGCACTTCCTTCTTACCTCACAGCATCTTTTCCCATAGCAGGCAGGATCTCGTCTTTAAATGGGCATGGCGAATGACATAAGCCCAGCCATTTGCTTATATATATATAGGCATTTGCTCAAATGCTTGAATTCCACATATTACAAAGCTAAGCAGTTGAAAAGTGCTCCTCCTGTACCAGAGTTGATGGCTTGAAACTTGATTTCTCTGCAGCTACTCAGCTGAGCACAGCAAGAGCAGCAGCAGCAGCTGCCCTGAGAACATTGGCACTGGAGCTTCAAGCCCTGCCTTGTCCATCAGTGCTCCCAGCAATTTGCAAAGGCCACAATGTCACCATGTGAAATGATCCGAGAGAGATCCCAGACTATCCCACAGTGGGATTTTGTGTCCCACTACAGTCCTGTAATTCAGCATGAAGGAAACCTGCTGCTGGGAGCTATCTGACCTGGAGCTAGCTCTACTAGCAGAAGCAAACTCAGAGGAAACTGTCAGCTGGTTCAAACACTGTGATTTCTTGAGACATCTCTCCAGCTATCTGCCTGTAAACTGCTGTACCCAGAAGAGGCTTAATGGAGCTGAAAGGAATATCTTCTGCCAATTGTCACAGGACTCGAAAGCTTGGACCATCACCAAAACAGGAAACAGAAAACCTAAGCTGAGAATCCAACCAAACAAATTGGCTGGATTATAACCGTGTTGGGAAAGCCCAGCTTTTATTACAGCTGGATTGCATGCTGCTCAGCACTGCAGGCAATAGGAGCACAGCAGAAGTAGGAAATGACCCTGTAGGGAGCAGCCTGCAAGCCAAACACAGCATAACCCAGAGAGGACGGTACACAGAAGCAGAGAGGAGGCAACAGTAGGGCAGATCAAGAGTTATAAGGAGGAAGCTGGGAACACATCTGTAAAAGTGCCTAAGGGACTACAGGAAAATGTTGGCTTCTTTAGGACAATAATCAAAAGTCAAGGACAAAAGTCAAGGGTACAGCTTCCCACCTAACTACTGCAAGTGCATCCTTGTGAGTCATGGCTCAGCCATTAAGGGCATGGATACCTCTCTGCGCATCCACTGAAAGGTAAACCAGACTTTGTGTCTCCTCCCTCAGAGTTTAAGCTTCCATGTTTTTCTGGCTGGGAGCATGTGCTCAGTCACTGCTCTGCAGACATGAAATAACTCAATAGACTCTCTCGGCTCAACAACCCAAATGCCCATGGAATTAGTTAATTAATGCCTCCTGAAAATTAGTTAATTAAACTCGAGGTCAGGCTTTGTCTTAAGAGGCTGGGCTGCTGCAGAAAAAACAGACCAGGTGATCATGAAACTAAAGACCATTGTGCACAGAGAGAAGACATGAAGGAGCACAAGCAAGTCCATTCTGCCATCCCTCAGTGGCTGAGTCCCTCACTTTAACCCAATCAACTGAATGCTGTGTCTATGCTGATGCATCAATATATAAGCCACCTCTCCACTGAGGGCTAAAAGAAGAAGCTGAAGAAATAGGTAAAATAATTAGGGTAGTCTAGATGTTGTTCCAGGCTACACTCCTACCCCTTCCAGTGAGACGGACCATGAGGTCCAGGAAAGACTGAATGCACAGGGCTTGAGCACCATTAGCTCACCGCTTCTGTAGGGGCTCGGCAGAGTAGCAAAACAAGGGAATAAACTGGGGATTTCTCTGGCTGATCATACTCCTTCCTGCAGTGACTGCTGAGGCTGAGAATCGCCCTGGAGGTGTCCTTTCCCCGGACCCTACACAGTGGTGCAGTGAGCCCCAGATCTCCTCCCTTCCCCCTCAGTTCACAGAAGAAAAACACTAAGATGTTTCTGTTGGCATTTACATCACCTTTTTGTAGAGACTAATCTTCAGTTTCAACAATACATCTTTTGTGAAGCGCTCCCAGCAGAAACCTTAGACACCTTCCCCAAGATCTGTTTGCTTACAGAAGACGAGGTAGGATTTGTTTAAACTCTTCTAGATTAATGTCTTGCAGACATTAGTGAAGTGAGATTTAATCAGGTTATTGCTCTACATTTTCCAGGGAAATAAATCACAGTTATTGCTAGGTTGGAATAAGATGCAAGGCTTGGGCTGAGCACATTCAGTCTTCTTTGTTTTTCCGGGCCGAGGGAGAGCAAATGGATAACTTGAAAGTTACTGCAAGGTTGTTGAACAGGGAGCTCAACAAAAGGCCCCCAGTGACTTGTAGGAGGGTAAAGAGAAAGAAAGCCATAATGGCTAGTGCCAGCCTAGGGATGTGCCTTGGTCCCCCTTCCAGATGTCCAGTCCTGAATCTTATTTTACTCAGGTTTAATGCCATAGGGTCCATATCAATACAGAAATCAAATAGGAGTCTTAAACAGTATTTAAAGCAGACTTGTAATGTCCAGTTGAGATCCTCCAGGTAAACTCTCCCATAACCCTGGGGACCTCAGGCCTCTTCTGAGCGCCTGTTTCTGCCTGGCACAAGGGAACATCTTGCATCACAGGGGTGTTGTGGGATCAAGCAACGTTTGCAGACTTTCTTACAGACCGTAAATGGAAACTGTGATAGTCAGCAGGTGTAGCCATATGCTGCTGCAATGGTTTTGAAGTCTGCAGTATGTGTTTAACAATGAACATACAACCGTATTTACTTTGGCATTTTTCTAAAACAAAGCTGGCTGCACAATAAAAAACCCAGCTTTTTTTTTTTTTCCCTGACCTTTGATTCAAAAACTGCTTTTCTCATAAAAAAACAAACAAAAAAATCCACCAAACCCAAAAGACTTCGCTTTCAGCTATACTAGCAGTGTTTCCTTTAGCACAAATGCTAATACACCCCCTTGTATAAAATCATGTATGTGCAAAAGGCAAAGTCTGGGAAGTCAAACAGCAAGGTCCTCTCCACCAGCATGGGAACAGACAGCTGAAGCCAATATAGATCTTTCCGCTAACTACAGGTTTGCGTGCAGTGAAGTGGCCAAACCCCAAAAGGTTTACATCCATTTCCCCTTGCCCAATGGGCTGTGCCAACACTGGAGAAAGCAAATTACGGTAACACAGCCTGTAATCAAGTTTCAAGTTGTGCAACAAAGCAGCACAAAACACAATGGGACCAAGTCAAACTCTTAGTGGAGCACAATAAAATATATCCTGTTTGCTATGAAGGAGAAAAGGAAATATCAGGCGAGGCAACGCAGTTGCTTGTAAATACCCTCCTGCCAACGCCTTCCCTGGCTAAATTAGTCCTCTGAACCCTGACTACATCAGCATGAGTTGGTCTGTCTGCTCCAAGGTAAAGGCTATGATTCTGTTTCGTGTTCAATGGGAACTCTTCTCCCAGCCTTTTCTTGGCTTCCTGCTGAGGAAGAACAGACTCTCCAGGGACAATCTTGGATCTGGACCACAATCTTGCTCCCTTCAGATAACTAAGTATCTCTGGGCAGGAGTGCATTTAAAGAAGCAGCTGGTAATTATGAGCCAAGTGCTTACTGGCAGGATTTCCCCCTGCTGCTGAGCCAATGCTTTTGAGAACTAAATGACTCTTCGGTGATAATTATCAGGTAAAACCCACAAGCCAGGGGAGGTTCACCCATTAGAACCATCAGCAAGAAACAATGCACAGGTGGGTGGAGGATGGCTGAAAATCATGTCTGAGGGTTGCTTGACTCCCTGTCCTCCACACACCCAACGCTGTTGTATGTAATTGCTGGGCATTTTCAAGGTACTGCTTGAAAGCTACAAAATCTGTTCTCACACCTACAGCAGTAATAAAAACAAATGACCTTTTCTTTTCAGCTTGTCAAAATGAACTGAACAGCATTGGGAATCCATCACAGCACTTACTCTTTTGGAGGGTTAAGGTCTTCTGGTCGAGCCTCGAAGAACCTGAAGACTTCATCACACTGTGAAATGTGAGGAGGAAGACGGACCAGTGCCTGCAAAATGTAACAAGAAGGAGGAAGAAGCGCTTAGAACTGTCAAGTTCAAAACATGGACTCAAACATCTAAAATACCAAGAAAGAGGAGGCAAAGCAGTCCTGATGGGGGCAAAGGAATACAAAAGGGAAGCATCACATCTGGCTACTTACTTGAGAAGAAAGGAAATAGCATGTCTCAGCTGCAAATGTCAAGCTGGATGAAATGAATTGAGACAAGGATTGGTTCTTAGAGTCAGCTAGTGTAATTTTTTTGCCATGTGCACAAGAGGAGAATTTGGTCTACATGTGTAAAACCGTAACAATGAGTAGATAAGTGCTCTGTGGCTGGGACAATCTGTGCCATGTGTTTGAACAACACCTCAAACAACGTGGTTAGGGCTTACAAGCTTTAAGTCAATGCACACAAATTCAAGCAATGAAAACCCACAGGCTCAACACCAACTAATACAACAGATTAATGTGCTCCATAAAGCTTTCCATTAAGCACTGTCAACAGAAAAAGTGGAGTTTGTTAAAAAAAACCCAAACAATCCCAAACCAAACAACAATTTGCTCTGAAGATAACAGGAAAGGAAGTTTCATTACATGTCTGACAGAAAAAAAAAACCCAAACTCCACCAAAATCACAGAGAGGACACTTTTGTCTTCTGTCTGAAGACAATTTCACAGCACATCTTGGCTAACAGTGTCCATGTGTTCTGCAAGGCACAGGTATGCAGCATTTGTTGCATACAGCAATAAGTACAATTTGGGAGGCAACTACATTATGCTGAAGCATATCAGAAAGCAAGATTTCAAAACAGTGAGACAAGCACACAAGGTAGAAAGGTACTATGAAACTGCTGTTCAGATTCTAGAGCTGGTGCCAACAGGAGACAGAGCTGTCCCCAGCCCAAAGAGATGGGACATGAGATTGTCTCCAGAAATGATGAGGAAAAGAGGCTGGCATTCACCTTCTCCTTGCTAAGTTACACTGAAAATAGGCCACAGTTTAAATATAGACCAAGCTTCTTAGAGGTATTGTAAACCTGTTTGACAAAATGAGATTGTCTGGCTCTTCTGGCAATTGAAAGATGGATGAGAAACCAGAGCTAAATGTACGTACATTAGGGTGAACTGGTTATACTAACCCAGGAGACATCTGACTGATCTTGATCAGACACACCAGAAAGTCCAGCCAAAGCATGAAGGCAGGACAGGGCAGCTGGCTACCCTCACGGCTGTTTTTAACCAGGCTTTAGAAGTGGCCAGATTTGTTTCCTAGACCATTCCTGCTTGGGGATGTGAAGGAAAAGAGCTGACAAATGAAAAATTCCTCCTCTGAAACTGTATGTGTCCAGTGTTTGATGATGGGGTCTTGTTTTGAGGTGGCCTGAAAATCGAAGTCAAGTGCTTCCATACCTACAGCTCTCTTTTCCTGTCTGAGGGATGTTATAGAAACATGAGGAAAATCCATTTAATATCAGCAGATGTATGAAGAATGAGGCCCTGGCCTTTGGTCACATGGAAATGGACTATAGAGCAGGAAAAGATAACTTGCAATAAGGAAGCAGCATCAGATGCAGAAGCTGGGCAACAACTCAGTGTGTCCAAGTGCTAGGGCATGTGTATGGAACACTACTGCTTGCTGCACTAACAGAGGATGAAACATAAGAGCTGGAAAACTCAAGCGCTCTAATCTGAATGCCCTGGTTGCCACTGGTATCTACTCAATCTTGCCTGAAAGGATAACAAAGGTGTGAGCTCTCTGTCCTTATTCCTCGTGCATAAACACAGCTGGCAAATTAGGACTAACACTGGGAAGTCAAGAACCACCCAGGAATAGCAACAATCACAGCATGTTGAAAGAGAAATGCCTCGCCAGCACAGGAAAACAAGGACATAGACAACATTACAGCACATTTTATTCATCTGTGTCTCAAGCAGGAGACAGACATAGAGAAGCAGTGCTATCTGACCAACAGTGGATGGGGCTGAAATTTAGTGATGGCTCTATTACTAACACCCTTCTCTGTTCAGGCAGGCTACTTAACCTCTTTCTGTCAAATTCAGCAGGGATATATCTTCAGTTACCCATTTACAATGCTGACCAATAACACTTACCTAATCTGCAGAAAGGTTATGAGGCTCAGATATTTAATATCTACAGTGTGTTTTGAAATCTCAAAGGGCTTGAACTTGTGCAGTCAAATGGGGCAGGAGCAAGCACTGCAAATGATACGTATCATTACTAGAAAAACACAAATACCCAAGTTATACCTATCACAGGGGGTCCTGGACATCAGACGCCTTCTCAAAGAGTCACCACTTCCCCACAGGTCAGAGGTATTCACCCTTCCCAAAAACCAGGCTACAGATGTCAATACTGAACTGGAGTACAGAGTGGATTTTCAGTGATGGAGGAACACAAATACTACCAAGCTACCCTGGAGATTTGTGTTTCTAAATAAAGGAAAGCTTTAGGAAATCCAAACCTGCCTGAATCATTGCTCTGCTGCCTGGAAATCTCCAGGAGCACTGTGGTCCTGCTGGGCCAAAGTGGAATAACTGAAAAGCACCTCGTTGATTCCAGGCTTTTGCAGACAGGGGTTCAAAATCAGCCAAAGTCATTTCCACACCCAACCATCCACCTTCCCACCCTGGGGCAGGGCTGGCTCCCAGCTTCTGAATCACCTCCCAGAGTACTGCAATTTTCAGCCCTGTACACAGAGGTGGAATGAAATCCACCAGGTAGTAACTTGCCATTGCATGTTTTTTGGGAAGGCTCAGGTGTAAAGTCTTTAACTTGTTTTTGTTAAAGAACAAATCCCTAAAAAGGGGTAAAGAACACTGAAAAAAGAAAGGATAAGAGAGTGCAAACAAGGGTGTAAAACCAGGCAGAGCCAGTCTATTGATTTTGGACAGTGGAAGGGAGCGGCAATGCTGTTTTGAGAAACAAATGTCTCTTCAGCAAACACACAACATCCACCCAGGAGCAAGCCAAGTCCAACGTGATTCCAGCAAGGGAACAAAAGGTGCATTGAGAAGACGAGGGACACTGCTGACACTCTGCAAGGGGAAAATGCACACTTCTGGCATTTCCAGCAAGATGGGCCCAGGGCAGAGCTGCATCAGCCTGAAGGGAAGACTGCAGGGTCAAGGAAAGAAGGGTGAAGAAAAAGAGGGAAACAGATGGTAAGAAGGTGGAAAGGACAGGGAAATGACATTCTTCCTGGGATGTGGAAACCAGAAGTAAATGCACACAGTCACAAGCAGCAAGCATCCAGAGACAGCAAGGAATGTGCACAGGAAAGGTGAGAGATAAAAAGTGCCAGTGAGCAGGATTCAGCCTTGCACAACTGTCAAGTACTATCAGTAATGGCATGTTTTTCTCACTCAGCATGCAAAGGAGGACGTGCACTGCTCAGACCTAGGAAATAGGCTTTTATTTGTCATTTCAGCCTGCAACAATGTCTGTCTCTCTATATGAGAGGTTTCAGACAGTCTCGCAGAGTGGATGATTCAAAAGGCTATTGAAAAGCTTTAATGTCAGGCAGCGCGCGAGCAGGCAGCCCTTGGTGCTAGGCACGGCCAGCACCTCACACAGTGCCAGCTCATCCTCAGGCAGGCTGCTGCATGCCACACACACCTCTCGAAGCAAACAGAGCACCCATTGCTTAAGTTTACATGAACTTTAAGCAGTTCCATCTATATTACAGCTCAAAGGCTTCATGCAATACACGCACATGGGTGTAAAACCACGCAGGCACTTGCAACTATGCACCGAGTGCTGTGTGCTGCATCTATGAAGATACATTTATAAAAAACAGATGCACAGACATGTATATGTAGAGATCTGTGTTCAGTTCTGGGCTCCACATTACAAGAAAGATGAGGAACTACTGGAGAGGGTCCAGCACAGGGCCACAAGGATGGTCAGGGGTCTGGAGCATCTCTCTTATAATGAGATACCGTAGGAGCTGGGCCTATTTAGTCCAGAGAAAAGAAGACTGAGATGGGGATCTCATCAGTGCATACAAATATTTCAAAGGTGGGTGCCAGGAAGATGATGCCAGACTCTTTTCAGTGGTCTCCAGTGACAGGAGAAAGAGCAATGGTCATAAGCTAAAACACAAGAAGTTTCACCTCAACATGAGGAAGAACTTCTTTACGTTAAGGGTGGCAGAGCACTGGAACAGGCTGCCCAGGGGGGTTGTGGAGACATTCTGGTTGTCTGGAGACATTCAAAACCTGCCTGGATGTGTTCCTGTGTAACCTGCTCTAGTGGCCCTCCCTTGACACGAGGGATTGGACTGGATGATCTCCAGAGGTCCCTTCCATCCCTAAAGATTCTGTGATATACAATATGTATGTAGGCATGCGTGTATATACACACAGAATACTATTCATCCCATTGATCTATATGTGTCTAAAATGAGAGACTGGTCACACTTGTCTATCAACTTGTACAACTGCTAGAGAAAGATCAGCACCTTCAGGGGGTGCTTAGTCTACCCCACCATGGACGTCTAGCTCTGGATGGGGTGAATCATTGACTGTGTCTCCCCGCAGCATGTTCAGGCAGTTCAGATGCATAGCTTTTAAATCACTAATGTGCAGTGGGGTTAATCCCAGATCTGCACACAAACACCCAGAGCCAGCTGATAGTAGTGCATGGTTATGACTCCCTGACTGTTCACATGAAATATCCTGTTCTCAATTGTTTATTGCTTTCATTAACGTTAATCATGATTAGTGCCAGATGTTTGGGAATGGTCATGAGTCCAGCAAGGGGGAAGGTGCAATTAAAGTAGTTAATTTCTGAGAACAGAGAAATAAATTGTTTCACCTATGTGAAAACACTTTCCTGTGAGCCTCAAGTAACTCTAAGCTTGAACTCATAGCACCTAAAGTGTGGAGGTTGGATGGCAAACACTGACAGAGAGGTGATGAGTGCATGGTGGTGACTCAGACTGGAAAAGAAGTGGGGAGATATACGAATAAGTAAAAAGGGGAGG